AAGATCATTTCTTCAACAGTTTTACTCAGGTTCTTTAAAATTTAACACTCCTCAACAAATCCATAAATATGAAGAAAATGGTGGAATAAAAAGACTCTTTTTATCCTGATGTTTAGAAGTCCTCATTTTTTTTGCTGAATATTTCCAAACTATACCCTTTCTCCTACAACAACTAAAATATTGATTATGTCTTTTTTAAATTATTGTGATTAACTTCTTTCCAAATCGCATGTTGCACAAGTGAAACATGACGGAATATCCCACTCTCCAGCTTTTTAAAACATGAAGTGGCAGCTATGGGGAAAATGCCGATTTGACTGGAAAAGGACTGCTGGGAAGCAGCTGCCTAAACCTTCCCCACCTGCACAATTGTCCCATTCCAAACTAAACCTTGTTACCTTTCTTTTGCAGGGTAAACTCAAACTTGGAATCAGATTTTGATTCCACAGACATATTTAATGAGGGAGAAAAATTAGGATATCCAAATTATGTCCAGGTAACTTGTCGTTTGAGCACTGCCCTCTTAACTCTCTTCAACTCTCAGATCTTCTATCCATCTTGTTACTTTTCCTTCCATTTGATAACATTTTCCACTCTTGTTTACTGGCTTCCCCTTTCCTGTTAGATTAATTTTGAACTCCTGCTCCTTGCTTTCAAGCACTTGCTCATCTTACCATCTCTCTTTCCATAATACAAGTTCCTTCTTCTTAGCTTTCTTTCAGCATTTCCATCCTTTTTGGTTTTTATTTTTTTCTGTACAGTGCTCTGCCTTTTGACATAAAGACTTTATATTTAAAGACTCACCACTTTCTACCCCAGGCAATCTATATCAGTTCATCATTTCCTCCAGTATGTCACAACTCAATTTTATTTAAAGAATGTTAATTGTATGCATAAATAATCCCTCCTCCTCCTCTCTCTATCCTCCAACAATATACCATGTCTATGTGAGCACATGAGTATGTGCACGTAAGTGTATACATACACAAAACGTATGTAAATAAAAGTTAAATAAAATTAATAGAAAATATGGACACAAATGTCATATAGCACACTCCTAGCAAAAATTCACACAACTGACATCTCCCTCTAGTATAGGCCAGGTGGCACCTACACCACATACTCCCAGAATCCAGCCCAAACTCTAGAACATTTTCCAAATGTCTTCTTCATATATATACCAGCTGCTCTGAGGTCACTTGTGTCTACATTTGTGTGATCAACATCATGAGCAAGCAGATTTGAACTTAAAGCTGATGTGAAGCACTTACTAATGTAATTCTAAGATGAACAGAAAGGCAAAAAGGAAAGGGAAAGTAATTAAGGTCACATGTCTTGCTTTTAAATCAAGAACCAACACACACACACTGGTCTTCAGTATGATAAGGAAATAAAAGTATCGGTATGTATCCCAGCACAAATGAAACAACTTATGCAAATTATTTAAGAAGTGTTCATATATGGCAGTGATGACAAACCTTTTAGAGACCAAGTGCCCAAACTGTAACCCAAAACCCACTTATTTATCGCAAAGTGCCAACACTGCAATAAAACCTGAATACTGAGGTTTTAGTTTAGAAAAAACAACTCACAGCCAGTCCAAGGAAAAACACAAACACACACATCCTTGGCAGCGCACTGACCTGCCATGCGAAAGCTCGGACAAGTTGCAGCGAATGAGTCGTGGCTCATGATGTCATCACCTGGCGCCGCTACTCCTTTCCGAGCATGCGCATGGCCCCTAAGTGTGCTGTTATCCGATGCTCGGCTGCTGGGGTGATGCTGGGGCGACTTGGCTCGCGTGCCGACAGAGAGGGCTCTGCGTGCCCACTTCGGGACGCGTGCCATAGGTTCGCCACCACTGATATATGGTGTTATCCTTGAGTGGGATCAGCACTGATCCAGCCACCATCTATTCTGAATGGTAGCAGAAGAGCAATTAGCCTTTCACAACCCTGCTATGTGAAATCTATTAAACCAGGTATTGTACATGGGAGATTGTGCAAAGCAAGTGGCTGCTACTTAACTAATGCCCTTTAATTGTATACTAACCCACAGAATGTTTCTTTTCTGACACTCAGAAACTCCATAGTTGTGACACAAGCCGTTGTCAGGTGTGCTGGAAGTTCAAAATATGGATGGCTCAAATCATTACTTGCCAGTCTCCCATTTGCCCAAATTTACCAGCCCTTGGGACTAAATGATACAACTCCTTCTATAAGTGAACTCAGTAGGGATGAAGGCAGCTTTTTGAAAGCACTATAGCTTTTAACATTTTAAAGGCCTGCTACTTATTAAAATACTGAACATATATTTAATAACTCCAATTTAAACCACCCTTTTTTCTATCACACCTAGTTAATTTTTGGCACAAGTGCAATAATAAAGATGACCTAATAGCAGCACAGACAACTTCTATAAAGATACAAAAATATCCTTATCACATTTCTAGTGTTCCAGTGTTCTCTGAAGCTTAAAATTCTTTCAAGACAAAATAATTGCTCAAATTGACCTGTGTCTCATCTGTGACACGCGGTCACTTAAAAACTAATCCCCCTTTATTGATGTTTTGTTAATTCTGACCCAAAAGTTTAACTGGCAAATTCTCAGCATAAACTTAAAATCTTTGATTTGTACACTGTTATAGATGAAAAGACAGACACACAATTGTGTTCCATTAAAGATATCACAGCAAGTGGGAGGGGGGGATTAAATATCAGGGTTGGAGGACTCTCTTTGGTCTAGTTCTGTTGTCTTTAATCCAGTGTGAACTCAAAACACCAGTTAAGCAAGAGCCAGGTGTCTGACTAATGCAAGTATCCATGACTGAATGCAAGCTAAGCCACAGACACAAAACGCATCACTAAAGAAGATTAGTGGAAGAAAGATAAGCAAGCCTTAGAGATTAGCCATATGAAATTAAGCAGCCTACCTGCAAAATAGAGTGATTGTAGTTTTCTCTAATACCTTTGTTTTTAAGTAACATTAAAAGTCTGTAATGTTAAAAGTCTGAAATGATATATTTCTATATCCAACACATCACCAAAAGAATAAAATATTTTTCCTTTAAAATATTAGAAGCAGTTAAAATAAACATGTATACTGTTGATAAAAGGCAAATGAAAAAGGAATGGATAGAAAATAGTTGACAATCACATGGCATACATCACAGCATGGACTAGTTTTGCATTAATTTAGTAGGTGCACAGGAATCATCTTTAAACCTTTCTCCTGGTCAACCATTTCCAAACTCAGAATTTGAGGTATTTCACAAATAGAAGGAATACAAGAATAAAATAATGTAAAAATTACCACAAATTAAGATATCCACAAAATAAAGTGAATGAATGACAGAAGCAGGGCACAAGGATGGTAACTAAAATTATTCCACATTAGGAAAGAATTGGCAATTGTTCCATTGTGGTACCTCAGTAGATGTTGAAATACCCCAAAACACACTGGGGGGAAGTCAACTTTATCTCCAAAGCCTACCTTTACTAGCTCAAGGGAGGGGATTACTAGATAATGAGGTGGGCTGCAGATAAACAGAATCACTGGCCAGTCTCTGTGCTGCATCTCCAGGTGCATGCCTTCAGTTCTTGGGGAATGCCAAGAGAACAACTCAATGGATAGAACTGCAGGCCACTCCTGCAGTTCCATCCCCTTGTCTGTTAGATCGTGCCCACTGCTCCACTAGGAAAAATGGTGGCCATAATTGGATCAAAGTGAGCACTCCTACATTGTCATCTACCAAATTTCAGTCACATGGGACAGGTCAGCTATTTCATCCAGGATCAAATCCTAGATCTCAGTTTTTCTCAAAGGCATGAGAGCAGCCATTTTAGATCAAACCATGGCTATCTTTAGCCCAGCTTTCTATTCCCAAAGTAGCCAAGCAGCTTTTTGTAGGAAACTCACAAGTAGGAAATAGTGTCATAACACTTTTCTATTCCCGTTTCCCATATGGAGGTACAGTGGTACCTTGGCTCACGAACTTAATCCGTTCCACGACTCTGGTTGTGACCCAAATTGGTTGTGACTCGTCAATTTTCCCCATAAGATTCAATGTAAATAAGGTTAATCCGTTCTGTAACTATTTTTTTTATCAGAAATTTTGAAACAAAGTGACAAAGAACAACAAAGTACTGTACAGTGGAGAACACTAACCTAGGTGGGGTTGGGGAGATTATTGTTTTGAGGGAGAGTCCCCCTCTGTAAGGATATTGGGGAGGCAGGGGTTTCCTCTCTTCTTTGCCTCTTAGCCGCAGAGCCAATTTTCGTGAAAAATCTGTCTATAGTCACTTGCTTTTTCGTATGCTGCATAACCCTCCGGAAATGAGAGACCACGTTATCGTTCATCAGATTCAACACTGTTAGTTACATTTATGATGGGGTGGTGCTTCTCAAAGAAACCTTGGCTCCTGCAGGAAAGACGGGCACAATCTCGGCCATCTCCCCCGTCCCTCAACCAGCATGATCGCGGCCATCTCCCCACCCCGCACCCCAAGTGGGGAAATGGCCAGGATCACAGCTGCATTCGTGCAGGGGAGACATGCGTGATCACGGATGCAGGAAAGACGGGCGCAGCACAGCACAGCCATGATCATGTACGTGCTCCCTGCATGAACGCAACTGCGATTGTGGTCATCTCCCCACTCGGGGGAGGGGGGGAGATGGCTGTGATCTTGGTCGCCACCCAAAGTGGAGTTTGTGACCCAAGTCAAAATTTTCATGAAATTTTTGTTCATGAGCCAAGGTACCACTGTATATTGCCTCTGATACTGACAGTAATACATATTCCTCAAAACTAGTAGTCATTGATAGCCTTCTCTTCCATGAGTTTGTCTTTTTCCCATAACTTCCGTATCAGTTGTGATCTGAACCACACTGATGTTCATTACCATGAACAATTCAGATGAAAATTTTAATTGTCCCTAGGCTATTTTATGTTGCTTTACAGAAAAAAAGAAAGGATAAAATCTAGCAATTTTTATACTTACCTGCGACATTGAGTTTTTCGGCTATTCCTGAACTGGGAGTAGCTGTGGCAGTACTGTTTGTGGAGTTTGCACCTGTGCCATTAATTACAAGGTTCTCCACTTTAGACTCAAGCTTCCCAATACGCTGCAGGATATTATCCAAAAGGACAGCAAGTGTTTTCTTCAGATCTGAATCAAGGAAGAAGAAAAAACTGCTGAGTATTACACAGAAATGATTACACACAGTGTTAGTATTCCCAGTTAGGTAAAAGTAGCCTTACATAAATACTTCAAACTTATTTCTGTGTTCCCTAAAGATCCTCAAAGATCCTCATCACCTGTCTAAATAATGCAAGTCTGAAGGTATACCACATGCAAGCCCAGTCAATACTGATGACAAAGAGCAGCACTGTATGTGAACAGAAGCCAAAGGTCATTGCCAGTCCAAGACATTGTGCTTCCTGAACCATGCTGGGGCGGGCTCTTTTCAGTTTCCTTGCACCATTCAGGACTGTCTTCATCTATTCCCCACTACCCATCATGCGGCCTGTAGCACATCACTTCACCTTGTTCCATGGCAGGACCAGACTTGGCAAAATGCTACTTTCCATATGCATACTTTCTCCTACTGAAAGAGAGAGAGAGACAGAGAGAATGTGTGTGTGTGTGTGTGTGTGTGTGTGTGTGTGTGTAGCATTTAAGCACTGTGGTTTGACATAAAAAGAAAACCCTTCAAAGGAAGAATCATATCAATCCAAACACACTTGCCGTTACCATAGACTGCTTATGTGGTTGTATTTGCAAGACACAGCAATGACATTTCCTATTAGCTTACCATATGCTGGTACAGTAAAGAAATGCCAGATGAGAGAGAAAATATTTACCCTATGAAAAAATGTATCTTCGATCACATTAGAAATGCTTAATATTCAAACATATATTGGATTTTTGTGCACTAGATTTGCAGAATGGCTTGTAGTAGTGATGCGTGAAGAATCCACTCTGGGGCTGGGAATCCATCAGATTTCCTCAGCTCCCCAGACTCTGGCCTGCATCCTCTGTGTCCCAGGTCTGCCTCACATGGGTATCTGGCAGAAAGAGAGTCCAGGTGAATCCACAAAGCCAGTTCGCATGCTGTCCACAACCCACATGCCCAGTGAGCATGCTCAGTTCTGCTTCCACAAATGTGACGTGTAAACTTTGCATATTTTATCCAGAAAATTGTCATCTCTGCAAACTTTGAGCAAAGAAAGAGTTCACTAGCATTCATGAGGAGACTTGATCTTTACTTGGCTTGCTTCCAGTCCAGGACCAAATGTGGAAAATAAGACCAGCAAGTGCAAGAGAGCCAGATTCTGGCTGGATCTTTGCATACCTAGCTAGAAGTATTAACTGGATGAGTCTTGTTCAGATGCTCAGAACACTAATTAAAATACTTGATGGCTTTAAGCACAGCACTATTTCTTAGCTTCAGTTTCCCTCACTAATCCAATAATATGACTTCATTGGAGCTGTCATGCACAGACAATTTGGAGGGCTTTCATCCATAGGGTTGCCATAATTGGAGACAACTTGATGGCGCATAGCAGTAAATATAGCTTTAAAAATAAGTGATGTAATGTGGCACATTTAGAGCACTTAAGGAAAAAAGCTGTATTAGCCATATATTACTACAGTTTTCCTACTCCAAATTCAGTTCCAAAGCCACCACTCATATTTTAAACTGATCTGAACTGTAATTAAGCACAGGCAACTGCAATTAATTTCACAGGCAGTAATAAACATCTATGAGTTGTATGTGCATCATAGGGCTAGGGTAGAATAGGAATCTATCTTATCCTGTAATTCAAAGCATTTTTTATCCTCTCAGACTTTTATACTTTCAGCAAACACCACTTGAGTTGACACTCTACCACAGAAACTATTCTGTTGGGTTGAGGGAGGAAATGGCTTTTCTAAGAATCCAAATTTCTAGCCAGATTCACCACTACTAAACTCTGTACAAGCATAACAAGGAGTCCTGGCAATTATAGCTACCTAAACCACAAAGCAATCAAGGTACAGATTTGGGCAGGATGTTTTATTTTTAAAAACAACCTTAGGAAAGATGCCTAGTTCCATTCCTACTTGGGAACGGGGTAGAAAGCAGGAGAACCGTCTCACGTGGGTGGGGAGCTGCACCGCTCCTCACTAGCCTACCTGTGGGCCAGATGGTGTTAGTAGTATGACCAGACTCACTGACATCATCCTCTTGCCCATTCTTTCTTCTCCATGCACAGGATTCTGTGATTCTCTCATCACAAAGGGAAGATTCAGCTGGCACTAGGAGACTTGTCCTGGAGCTGACCGAGTCTCTTGGCCTTGGCACAGCACTCCATGTGAAGCTGCTTGGCTGGTGCTCATAATGGAGAAAATGCTCAGCCAGCCACTGAAACAGTCCTCACAGGGCTGGTTGACTCCTCTCACTTCACAGGGATTGCTTCGGGGAGGGGGGGCAGGATCTGGATGAACCTATGGGCATTATGTGGAACCCTGCAGACCAGATTAGATCCATGGCCATAGGAACCACAAGCCTTGAACACAGATTTTGCTTTCACAACAACTATGAGCATCCGATTATCCTACCAGTTTTTTCTAAGTGCTCAAATTCAGAAGGGATAAACTTCTGCTCCTGGTGAAAAGCAAATGGCACATCACCACTCACTACCTTTGTTCTATTTAAGTGCTATCCTAATCCAAATGCTACTTGATTTGCTATACTGTACACAGTAAAATCATCATATGAGTGAACATAGCCTACAGGCTGTCTCAGACAAACAGGAGTTACAGAACAAGGGCTACTTGTTATTTGAACCACAAAGCAATGCCATAGTCAGCTGCCTAGGGGATGGTGACCTCAACCTCTCCAGCAAATGCACTCACAGGAACAGCAGAATCTTATCAGAAATTGAGACAAAGGTGTAACAAAAGCAGCATGGCACCTCAGCATCTCTGGCAACTGTTCTAAAGAGGTGCTTTCATTCCAAACAGTGAAGGGGAAGAAGATACCTAAGCAGCAAATGAATGGTATAAGCTCTAACTTGTGTGCAAGCCTGCTCTGGAGTATCAGAGCCCCTCTCCTTTGACAAGATGAACAGACAAACCAAATAAGATTTCTTAATGATAAGATGGTGATAGAAAAAGGGCTATTGTAAGTTCAAGCAAGGTGAGCAAGTAATAGGCAGCTAGCTTTGCAGAGGCTGAAAAGAGGCAGCTGCCCTTTGGCAAAACAAACAGAAAGGTTAGAAAGTGAATACCAGCAGTACAGGGAACACACACAGTGTCACACTGCATTTCAAGGAGAATGGTAAACATCCAAGCAATTAAGAAAATTATTGCTTTACACTAGGAATTTTCCAGACTAGGAGCTATCTTTGTGTTTTTCTTTCTCTTACCCTCCCTCTTTTAATTACGAGTAAGCAAAGACTTCACTTAAATCTATGCTAAGAAAATAACATAAGCAGGTTTTCCACTTTTAATTGAAAGAACTGCCTTTAGCACACTTCTCATATACAATATTTAATGTTTTTTAAATAAATAAGAATACCCTGAACTGCAGAAGAAAAGATCATTTCAGGTAACTACTCCCTTGCTGGGGAGTGATTCATCACCTGAAAAATACTCAGTTGTGATGTTGCTTTTATAATTAAGTAACTGTTTGTCTGGAGAATTGTTGTCTTTAGTCCTTTCATACTGTGCAAAAAACCCCCCAAAACCAAACATCAGTATTTATAGCATGCTATCTTAGTAACTCTTCATATTTGAAGGAAGCTGTAAATAATGTGAAACCTAAGAAGGTGATTAAACTCTTAAATGATATTAGCAATGCACAGATGAACCAATATCAGCCACACACTGGAAACAAAGTCAAAAGAAATAAGAAGTATCATATAGTAATAAAAGGAATCTCTTCCCTAATCAGTCAGGCTGCAGTTTTCCAAGATATTCAGCATAAGCTTTTCTTCCGCCAAGTACATCAGGCAAAATATGCTCTCTGCAGCCAAGTTATTTGAATAAAATGATGCCCCATTATAATGATTTAATGTATCTTTTAATTAAAATGTCTTCATGTTTAAAAACACTGGTTTTCCCACCTCCCACACTACTGTCTGTTAAAAATTCTGCAAACATACTGATTATTCCACTAAAAGGGGCAGGGAGAAATACAAGTGGAAGAATTAAACAAAAAACAAAAACAAAAAACGTTGCCTTCCATGCTGATCTTCTGCTTCAAATAGCAGCCTTAAAAAGACAGACTGAAATAAGAAAAAAAGTTCTGGAAAAAAATTCAGAACTGTAAATTACAACGTTCTGTCTCAAGATCCTTCCACATCTGGCTGCTACCTTAAGCTACTGATTTGTGATTTGCAGAGCTCTGCACAAGAAGCAACTTAGATTTCAGAGATCGTTTCATGCAGTGACAGTGCAGATACTGCACTGTGATGGCTTTATGACTTAGATGCAACACTGAAATAATGTGAAATTACTTACACACCTTTGTTGATTTTGCTACAACTAACATGGCTACCCTTCTAGAATATCATTCATACAATTTCCTCAATAAAGCCATGTTATATTTTAAGGGGTTAATGAGCTTACTGAAGCATGCTCAGAGCCACGAATTTGTAACTAATCTACAAAGATGCCAATGCTGGTTAAGCCATGGCATTGTTTTCCTTAATAAATATAACACAGTTCAAACGTCATCTGGCAGTTCAGAAAAGCTTACTACTGGGTCCCTGTGGAGTTAAGTATTTGTGTTGACATATCCATCCTTGTTTGTTGAGAGCTTGTTAATTAGGCATTAGACCATTTCTTCGGATAAGAATTTGGAGGCACTGGACCATCCTCAGTGTTCCAGCATTCGCTGATGCGGGATATATACTGGTGCTCAGCCTGTCTGGCCATATAAAAATAGGGAATCCTTTTTTATATATACTGGAACCCTGTGTTTTGGCCCCAAAAGAATCCTCCAGGCAGTTCACATGATGCAGCAAATCAGAGCACCACTTAAATTCTGTAGTCTGCAAGTATTAAAAATGTGAAGTCATACTTAGGAAAGATACTACACTTCACTCAGCCCAACAGTGTGAATGCCCCTCCACAGGAAAGACTGCTTCTCAGAGCTCTCCAGTCAGCATTGACTTGGCACACTGTCTGGTGAGGAGACATATGTGGAGAAATACTCCTTGGGAGGTCTTGGCTCCAAGAATTCAGGCCTTTAAATGGCCCCATCACTCCCTACTACCACTTCTGCAGAGTTTGTGGCAGAGGCAGCAACGGCAGCATCTGTATTCTGTAAAAAAAAGACTGGCTTTTAAACCAAAATCATGCTCCCAGAAATTTCCTGGGATTTCAATTTTGTTCTCAAAAATGGCATGCACTGTTTTACAGGAAAGGTGTGAATTATTTTGCATCTGTTGTGCTTCTGAATTTGGCAGCAAAGTGAGCAGCACTGTGGGGTATGTCCCCCAGTGGATTCTACTGAGAAAGTAATCTTTGGATCCACACAAGTTGCTCATCCATGCTTTATGGAAAAAATACCAATATCTTGAATTATGCCCAGAAATAATTCTGCAGGGGTCTATCATATGGCTGACTGGCCAGGCAGTGGGCAGCCTTGCTTTCAACCTGTTCAGCCTTTGCTAGAGTCTAGCTGACGGTGCCTTGAAGTAACATATGACTTACCCGCAGAACAAATGTTTTTCTCCATTATGCGATGCGCCTTTCAGCCGCTGGCCTGACACCACTGCGTATTATGTATTTGCTATTAGGGAAAAGGACTTGGAAATGATGAACTGAAACATTTTTAAAATAAGGATCTGCCTGGCAAGAATGAAAGGCTAGTATTTGAGTTTCAGACAGTGGAAAAGCTGAGCTCATTCTGGTCATTGCCAGCTATTAATATGCTTCTTCTTCACATTGAAATTTCCCCTATAAAAATAGAAAAACACTGCTGAAATACCACATCTTGACCACAGAGTGGAAGATGCTTCCTTGCTGCTAGGGACAACCACCTATAATGACATTTAAGAAGCTGGAAAGTCCTGTGTATACTTGTGTCTAAGACAGTTTTCTTGCTCGCAGTTATGTTAGGGCACAGTCCTATGCCAGCTGGGGATTGCCGGGAACTGTGGGACTTTTTATGTGTAAACCTGCATCAGACTGAGACTCCAGCCTTTCTAGAGACACTTAGAGACACAGATGGGAAGGGAGGGAACACTTAGAATACAGCTCCTGTGGCAAATTGGCCTTGTTTATCACAGCAAACAACAGCTCTTTCCCTAGACAGTAGATGTTGTGGGGCTGACCTTGCTCCCATGAATAGCCATGAGTCAGGGAAATAACCTTTTTTCTTTTTCTTCGGTGTTGGAAACCTCAAACAAAAATACACTGTTGCTGCATTTGGTTTAGTACTGTTGCACCTCCACACTGATCTTGCTGTGCTACTTGAACAGGAAGCACAATGCAGTCCCTGTGCACAGGGAATGTGTCAAGATGCTAATTCAGCTTTCCGGTTACTAAAAAATGTCCTACTTTGAAATGTAGGCAAGCTATTATTTTTGGAATATGCAATGAAGTTTTTTTTTAAATTTAATTCAACTCTGGGTTACAAGCAGATGCAATAGGCAGAAATGTTCACAGATAGCACGACTGACTGCCAATCAACAGGCCTTCCCAAGAGGCAGAGCAGTGCAACATACACTATGCTTCCAAAGATGTGTATTTATGCATATGTGTACATGCACAAGTACAAGTTAGTGCAAACCCACCCTAAATTTGCATCTTCACATTTTTTGCTACTAAATGTACACATTTTCAGTCATGAAAAGTTTGCAATTTTGAAAACGAATTTCTCAATTTGGAAAAATTGCACACTTTCAAAAATGTACATTTCTCCCGAATGAAGAAACTGCATTCTTATTCAGGAATGTAAACAAGGTGAAATGTGCTTTGAAGAAAAAACTGGAGAACTTCAATGAGGATGAACACAGCATGTTTGCTCATCCCTACATTCAACAGGAGACTGTAGAATAGTTTAGCTCTTACAGAGATACCATGCATACATGGTTTTAAACCTTATTCTATGAGCCATAAAGTGTGAATCAGTCCTTAGACTAGAGCTCTCCAAGTCTGCCATGCCCATGTCATTTATTTATTTACTAACCACCAACTAAACAAGGTGGTTTACAAAATAATTCAGAAGCTAGAATATGTAGATGGCAACAAGTGAAACACTAAAAGCAACCTTCAAAACCATAACAATTCAGAAGTCAAGTTTAAAAAACACATTGACCTATTCCTGGGAACCAGTTACAATCCTAAATTAATATTAGTACTACACTGAATTTATACCCCAGGAACCCAAGGTGCCTTATATAGTTGTTCTCCACACCATTTTATGCTACAACAACCCTGTGAGGTTGGTTAGGCTGAGAGTGGTGTGACTGGTGCAAAGTCACTCAGTGAACTCCGTCATTGAGTGGGGACCTCCACATCCCCAGTCCAACACTCTTACCACCAGAGAGAGTAAGTTCCTGACTTTGGGGGCAACAGAAGAAAAACCCATTTCCAGAGGCTTCAGAAGTGAACCCAAAAGTGGTGGTACTGTTCTGATCTGCCTCCTGCTGATTTTAATAACTAACCAAGATGCTCCTCAGGTAGTCAGGTCTTAAGGAAGTGAGAGATCTTCAAACCACTGCCTGACTGCACTCAGAAAAAACAACTGGCAACCAGTGCAACCCCAATTTTAGTATTGGGGCAATATGATCACAACATTGTCTACTGGTTAGCATTTTGCAACAATGGAAACTTCCGGACACTGCTGAAAAGTAGTTCTACAAGAATGTATTGCAATAGTCTAAATGGCAGCTAATGGATCAAATTAACTAAGGAACAGTTGCTGTTGATGCACTAAACAGAATTATGCAAACACACTTTACATATGCTGAAGTTCCCCAGATGCCATCAAGCCTGAAATCTATGTTTAATCACTGAGGCCAGTGGTGACATATCATGAAGCAATTTAGTTCTGTCTTGAGATGGGCAAACAAACGGTCATATTATTCCTCTCAGTAAGGCTCTTCACTTTCAGCCACTTATCTGCCTTCCTTCCATCTTCTGATTCCCTTCCATGAAACCCCCAGAAGATCCATATATGCAAGCATCCTCAGTTGTTAGCTTGCAGTCTGTCTCGGAAGATTTGGGTTTGAATCCTGACTCAGCCATAAAAAGTTCTTTAATTGTTTTCAGGCCAGTCACACACACTCAGCTTACCTTACAGGATTGTTGTGAAGGCAGGAAACAAACTTGTAATCTGCCCTGACCTTCTTAGAGGGGCAGAACATACATATGAAAAAATAAGAAACTGGTATGCATGTTTCCTTTATTTTCAGAGCATGTGACTACATCCTGACATGATTGGACTATTGCTATTGTATAAAAGGTCTTGTACTACAGATGACTGAACTTAATTTAAAATAATTCTGATAACAACCTCAATACCTTTTCACCTTTTATCTATTTTAGAAAACCTACTTACCATATGCAGTCATAGTTCCAACATAAGGTCCATCTACCACATTCCTATTTTCTTCTGCGAGTGCTTTTATATATCTTTTGCTAAGGTCCAATATCTGTTCACGAAGCACTGAACTACTTTCATGCTGAGTCTTCTGCTGGATCGTAAAATGTAGCAGCATCATTCCCCAAATGAAACCAAAAGTCACCAGAAAGAAGCCAAGTTTCTGAGAGGAGAGCTTCCATGGAGTAAAGAATGCCATGACTGTTCTACCAGCTCTCTGGAGTCAATTGGAACAGGTATTATAGCCAAAGCCTCAGTTCATAGTCCAGGCAAGTAACAATCACAGTTCAAGTGCTGCTCACTCTGGTTCATTAGTCAAGATGTTGGTGCCATTCAGTTCCATCCTGCTGCTGCAAGAAAAAAATGAAACATATGGCAATTAAAGTGGTAAAGAAATTCCTGAAGCTACTTCTTAAGCTCCACCAGCCAAGTGGAAAGAAGGACACTATGATTTCTTGGTACTTTTTAAATGGTTAAGAATCAATATTGTATTCTGGTTATGTTTTATTATTGTTGTTGTGAAGTTTTGTATTTATGGGTTTTTTTCCTGTCAAAAAAAATGAAAAAGAGGAAAGAAGAATCAGTATTGTGATTGTGTAAACCGTTTTGAGAACTTTATGCTAATCAAACAGTATAGAAATACTAAATAAATAAATAAATAAATAAATATTATATGAAAACAATATAATGAGACCAGGAAACATTTAGAAATGTATCAGAAAATGTATCTTAATGTAGAATTTACCTTTCAAAAACCTGGAACAAATTCAACAGAAAGTATCTGATTTAATTTTTTAGGTAAAGCCATTTCATCTGCTAGGATCAGGACGGAATTACATCTTTAAAAGGAGCTGTAAATACAGCTATAAGTTTTTTTTTTACCTTCCAACTTCATTATTTAAGCCAGCAGTTCTAGTAAAGAAAATGGTATAAAAGATAGACTTCAATAAACACTCCTACTGAAATAAACAAAAAGAGGTTCATATTATTTAAACAAGTGCAACCTCTAAAACAGGGAAAAGCAACTTGTCACTTTCCAGCTCCTAAAATCTCTTGCCTATTTTGGCTCTGGATATTGATAGTTGTAGGGCAAACATGATGAAATGCCTTTACCTGTGAAGTAAGGGGCCATATTTGAACACCCTCCAATAAGAGAAAAGCTCTCTGCCTATCAGGGTGAAGGGCCCTGAACTGGATATCATGGCTAATATCAATACAAGGAATTTATTCTGAGGTAGGATATTATTTGAGCGCACTTTGTAGGTAGTTTTGCATTCTAAAATAGCAAATGTAGCTGGTCTGTAAGAAAAAACTTATTGCACAGATAGGCAATACTTTTTTCTTAGGATAAGGCAAAATATCACAAAATAATGAACTAGCTATCAAGCTAAATGTAGTTTTCTATGTGAACTACAAAACTACATTTTAACACTGTTTTTTTAAAAGACATCCTAAGATCAAGGAGCGAGATTTTTGTTCAAAGCATTCTGAAATGCAATCACAAAGCAAGGAATTATCTCCCCATGGAAAACAGATGAAATGGGGGGGGGGGATATCACTCCTGGAAGGTTCATCAGATGACACTGAATGTGCAGTAATTGATGGAAAGGCAAAAGGAAGAGATGCTAATATAATGTAGATTCTGTTTCCGATGTCTGCGAAGTTGGAAAGTTCTTCTCTGGTCTCGTGCTTTTAAGAAAACTCTTTTTCATACGTTTAGTATTTCTCTTACATTTACTGTTTTTGTTTATTTTACTATTTTATCAATACATTATTTTTATTATGTACATTGCCTTTGGAAGCTCTACCCAGCCCCATCAAAAGTAGTCTATGAATTATAAATAAGAATGCAATCCTAATGCCAAAAATGCAAAAAAAAAAAAAGTTAATTTTTAAAAAAGAAGTCCCACAACTCATAATATTCTTGAGCCAGCATGGCAGTTGTAGCATTTCCCCTGTCAAAACATATATAGACTTGCCTCTTAAATAAAATAAATATTTGGGATTTGCTATTGTGATAACGAGCCAGATATTTTTTCATTCAATTATACTGTGATTGATATATTGCCACAATATTGATTAGAACTACAATGCTTATTGATTTCTCTTTTCTGAATAAATTGTTACTGCTATTTCTGTATGTTGTTGTTGTTGTTATTATTATTGTTATTATTATTATTATAACATTTCTATGCCGCCCCTTGCCGAAACCTCGGGGCGGCTTACAACATGATAAAATACATTGAAATACAATAGTACATAATAAATTACCATTAAATACAAAAATACAAAAAATACATTGATTTATTTTGATTTTGATGTTGTGAAATGATTCTGGGGAAAAAATAATATACAGTGGTACCTCGGTTCACGAACGCAGCAGAAGCCCAGGATGACACCACGCCGCCCGCCAAAAGGGAAAGCACAACATAAGGGGAGCCATGAGGGTGCACTCGCCTCGGTCAAAGCCCTCCCAGATCCTCATCGCCACCCCGCTTCTGAGCCGGTGGAAGGTCTCTTCGCAGGCACTCACCCGGCTCCGGAGAGGTGGGCGTGGGATGGCTCCCCTGACTGGGAGAGGGCCATGAGGAGGGAGGTAAGGGCTGCTTATTGCGGGCTGAGGCCGGCCAAGTAGGGTGCCCCCTGCCTGTCCCCACCATGGGGGGGAGAAGCATGGCGGCTGCTCGACAGCTGCGGCGGCTTGCCCTGAGAAGGCTGCAGAGGAGGCAGGGGAACCGCAGCCCCACTCCTGCTCTGCTTTGGCCCATCCGCCCCCGGGCTCGGCGAGGTGGCCGCAGCTTGGCCCACAGCCTGGGGACGTGGCTCATATTTTTGTAGTTTAAAAAAAAAATACATATTTATTTATTTAAAACTTTTACATGCTGTCCTTTATGTATAACATAAAGTTATGATTCAGAACGGATTAACCTTATTTACATTGAACCTTATGGGGAAATTTGACTCGGGTTGTGACCAATTTGGTTCCTGACCAGAATTGTGGAACGAATTAAGTTTGTGAACCAAGGTACCACTGTAAAAGTAAAAACACTGTAATCATCTGCTTCAAGATCCATCATTAGTCTGCATTTTGTCTGACCCTAAAATTGGATGCAAATGCTATATGTGAGATTAAAGATATCCATTCTGTACCAATGAAGTCTTGTCTTGTTAGCAAGTTTTGTGGAAAATACTAATTAATACTATTATGGAATTTTCACTAGATGTTTGGAAAGTTCTAATACTTGATTCTTGACTTGGAAATTGTCTCTGAGAGTTGAACCTCTGCAATTTTTAGAACTGGGAAAACTGTGTGGCATTAGGAAAATTTATATCATAATTTTAATTGATGTGAGATGGAAATCAACCTTATTTTCCAACATTTGCCATCATGCATGGTTTAACAGTACTATCTACTGAGCCTGACTAAAAATATCCTATACAGGGAAAGGAGGTTCAGCAAACAAGCTGAAGCAAACCAAAATCTAAATGCTAGGCTTTTCTACCCTCCATGTATGTGCGCACACATCCTTTCTAGTTCCTCTGGCCCTACAAAGACATGAATGAGAACCAACAAGACGAGACATAAGGTAATGTGACACAAAATCACTTTTAATCTTCAACGAGCAATGTACTTTTACTTTCAGGGAAAAGGCCATCTCTTCTGTACTGGGAGTGCTGTTGAGCAGGCCTTTGGCAACCCAACCACGATTCAAACAGATACACACGTCCTTGATTGCACTGTGTATTTTGAAATCTCTCCAACTTTCTGTCAAACGTGCCATCTTGCACAGCTTAGTCCTACAGAAATGAATCCATCAGCAGACACTTTCCTTTGTGCTAGCAGCCTATTTTTACTCGTCCTTGAACTGCAATTTGTATGTGCACTAAAAAAGCACAGAGCTTTAAAATAAAAAGCCAATGTTCTTACTTTAGAATGCCTGAATCTAATGAGCATTTTATTAAAGTCCACTACTACAAGGCTAACATTTGGAAATTTGTAGTAGATTTCTGATTTCAACAAAATCCTCACACACAGCTTCAGTTTTGCCTTTTTACTAGTTAGCTGCACAGCATGAACAGAAACACTTCCTGAGTAAACACCCAAGCAGCAGATTGCACCTGCTCCAGTTGTTTTTTCAAGCTTCAAAGCTTGAGGAATGAGAAACTGCATGTTATGTCAAGCAGGACTAAGTCTAATTTGCTTTCAGAAGATGCACTTCCAGACCGAATCCACTTTATTTTTAGTGTGTTGTGCAAACTGGGTTGTATGGGCTTCTTCCAGAATATAAAACACCAGCCTCGCAACCTAAGAGATCCCATCCATGGTGTGATAATGCAGGGTGATCCCCAGCTTCTCATCTCAACAGACATAAAGGAAGGACTTGTTGCTCAGGCTAACGTAAGAAGACTGTGGAGGATTTGAAAATTAAGAGATTGTGTAAGTAGTTAGCCAGAGTACAATATGATAGTAACAGACCATAAGAGACCAAATGTGTTTGCAATTTTGCAAAATGAAGCTTCTGAAATTTCAACCAGCTATATAAATATTTAAACATGGAAATTTTGCTTGTTAATCCGCATTACTGTTTTTGTAGTATTAAGATTGTGTAAGTACGCAGGATGAATTCATGTTAATGGAAATGGTTATAGTTGTAGGGAGTGGAACTGCTCATCCCAAAATTCAGCATTCAGAGATGGATATTTCAGACGCTGAATCTGAACTGGAAGAAGAGGCATGGTTGGAATGCTTACCTAAAATTCCAAGGCTAACAAGCTTAGTTAACCCTTTGCTTTACTATCCCAAAGCTGCGTTACAGCAGCAGAAATAAAAATACACCACTGCTGCATACACTAATTAGGAATTGTGAAGTTCACAGGTAAAGCTACACTGAAACCAAGATTTGACCATATAACAAGCAGTTTAAAAGCTGAACAATAATGGCAGCATGATTAAAGACACACAAGACTATTCATACCTCCAGAAGAATGTGAAAATATGCAAGAGCTTGAAAATCAACAAGGAGCAAATTAACGTCATTGCAATAGATAATGTTCAGATTGATGTGTTAAAAGTTCCAACTCTAGACTATATTCTCAGAATAAAAACCTGAGGTAACAACTGTTTCATAGTGATATTTCAAATTAAATGCTCTAATCTTTTTCAAATAAATGTGATGAAATTGAAGGTTGAGTTAAAACTGAAATGTGGTTTACATACTTAGAAAACAGCAGTAACAAAACTAGCCCAGGATGGATTTCCCACTGATTTCCCAGGTTCCAGTCCAACAATCTAACCACCACACCATACTGGCTCTCAAGAAGCTGAAGATTATTTAAGTACTTTCAGGTT